CTTCATTTTCTTCATTTTTGTTTTCTTCCAGCTTCTCCTCTTCACTTTCTTCTTCTTTCTTGTCTTCTAGCTTCTCCTCTTCTTTTTCTTCATCATTCTCCTCCAGCTTCTCCTCTTCTTTTTCTGTCATCTTCTCTTCATCTTGTTCTTTCTCTTCTTCTTTCATCTCCTCTTCCTTCATCTCTTCTACGACTTCATCAACTTCTTCAGCAAAGTATTCATCAACTGCATCAAGATCATCATCGACTATAGCTAATGAAAGGATCTCGTCATCAGTTGTTGCTGTTGAAAAGTTGTCATCATCTACTGCAAGATTAGTGTCTAAGCATTAATACAAATAAATTATTTTACAGAAATAATATATAAATTTATCTACCTTTCTTTTTCTTGTTCTTTTCAGTTCTTCTCAATTTCTCCTCTCGTTCATAAGCAATAATTTCCACCATTGATTGCTCGAGGGATGCAACACACTCACACATATTTTCATCTTTAGAAGTACTTGGTACAGAATTCTCACAAGGTTGATTAGGATTGTGATCACTTAAATACTCATCCTCCAGATTCTCTACTATTGAGTAAGGACAGTCACACTTTTCAAATTTGCCTTTAAGGCATCGAGGATTGTATCCTTCACTTTGTCCATATATGGCTTTAATGTTGTCAAGTAACTCTTTTTTGTCTCACGGACAGTAGGTGTATGGGTGCACAACTTACGAAAAAACAATATATACAAATATTACATGACATTCATCAATTTATAAATATTGCTAAATAATAATAAATAACTTTGTACCTTTGTACTTAAATGGATCACCTTCGATAATATTATCGTGTTTTACAGTGTGCCATCTAAGTAAATGGGGAATGGGCAAAGGAGAATCCAAGGACTTCTTGGCATACTTTTCAAGATGAGGAAAAGCCTCATATATTCAAACCTGAAATTAATAAAAGAACAAATAAATAAACAGAGACTATAAAATACTACACAAATATATAAGAATTTATCATAAATCAACTACATATTTTATAAGAAGTACCATAAATGCCCAGGAAAATCCAGACAGAGCATACGATGCATTTTCTCTTTCATTAAACAATTTACTCTGCTTCTTGATACGTCAATGTTAAATTAAAACTTTTTCCCCATGGATAACTATTGAAGAAATCTAAATCATCCACCATCTTAATGTGGCTTGAATCCACAATTTTAGATCGATCATGGGCAAGCAACATTGTGTCAACGAACAAAACAAAAGAGCACTTCAACTTCTTCTCCTTATTCAACTTGGAACCCTTGATCAAACGCATCAACTTTATAGCAGTAATGTTCTTATTCTTAGTCACCTTGTAGTAAAATTTCTCTCTCTTTACAAGAACTTTTTTCAATTTTGCATCACGGGAGTATGCTGACAATTCAGCCCCGTAATCAATGTAAATTCTCTTAAGCCAAAACAAGCAGACTTATCATTCACACAGAATCCAATTTCATGTATTTTTTTTGTCACTTTTCACACGTCGCAACAACATATAATGGACCATTTGTCCATTGAACTTGAAATGTTCTGGAATATGCCTCAAGTGTCCAAAACAAGTACCTTTAAAATCTTCATAATTTTTTTCTTAAACTGGAAGATTTATTAAATCATGATAAACAGCCATCTTTGCTCTAACAGAATTTTTTGCTGGAAACGATCCTATCTCATCTATCCATGTCTTTAAATCATACAAATTAATAGAAATGTCTCTTGCACAAATTGGCAAAGACAGGGGATCTTCATCCTCATCACCAGTTTGGGTATCTCTACTACTCTCATCTTCACTGTCACTTTTATCATTACTAGATTCAACATCATCACTAGACTCGGTACTACTGTCCTGGTAGTTGTCAATATCGGCCATTGTATCAGAATCAGAGTTTGACTCATGTTCTTCCACAACAACTTTTTTTCTTTTTTGAAGCTTTGGAAACTTCTTCAGCCTTTATTTTCTTATGTTTAGAAGCATTAGTACCAGATCGTTTAATGATGCCACCTCTTGTTTTAGCCATATTGTACTATATACAAGCAAAAACAAATTTGTCATATCAAAATATCGACCACTAGTCTATTAACACAATCAGAGCTTACATTAAAAAAATATGCAAAATAAGTAGCAGTTCAAATAGAAATCGACAGTAAAATCGCTAACATAGAACTTTAAAATCGATCAAAATACAATAAAAGTTTTCAAATCGCTAACATAAAACTTTCAAAAAAGTCTGTGCATTATTCAAACCAAAACGTCATTAATGATGCCGAATCAAAAACATAAACTAAAGAGAGTCAGATTTTCAAAAGTTTAAGCAAAAATCTAAACTTCACTACACTACCGCAATTAAAAAATAAATCAAATAGGACTAAAAGTTACTTGAAATACGATTAAACTTACATGAGAGGAAGAAGATTGAACAAGATTCAACTGAACTTGGGGAAGAAAATTGAACAAAATAGACCTGATTCACTTCGTTTGAAATCTTCAGGAACTATTACGGGATCTTATGTTTGTTTATGGTTTCAAGAATAGAAGATAGAAAGGTTGGTTCTTGGAGAAAGCGTGTTTTATGGAGGTTTACGATATCGATAAAGCTAGTATATGGAAGATCAAAAGCCACATTGAAGAACAAAGTTCTGAGGTTTCATCGAAAAAGGGTTTTCTGATAACCTAATATATTGAAATTTTTTTATATCGGAATTGTACTTTATTTTTGGAGGGATTAAATTTATTTAATAGTTGAAGTGTTGGGAAGAAAATGACTTGTATTTTATCGAAAAAACTTATCCTGCACGAGGTGCAATTATTGTCAGTTGTATGAGATGTTGTTTGGCTTCCAAGTGTATATTATGGGAACCACATTTCACTTTCTTTCATTTCCTTTTCTCATCTATTTTTAACCCTTTTTTTAATACTTTTTCTTTCTTTCTTCAAAACACTTTCTTGCATTTTTTTCTACTAGTACTTGTTAACTCTTAACATAGTTTTATTTTTGTATGATATTTTTTTTGACTTTTTATTTAGTATCCGATATATGAATTGAAACAGGACTATTTAAGATTTGTATTGTGTAAAATTTTGTTCGAAGTGATATATTATTTATCAAAAAAAATTCATACTCAAAGCTTGAACTCGAGACTTCTAGTTAAGCGAGAAACAATAACATCTTCTGCCCCATCAATTATTTGAGGAAAAATCAAAGTGGGTGTATCGAAAAATTAAAATTTAATTTTTTGGATAAGTTTTAAGGAATTGAAGAAAGTGAAACTACAAAATATTAGTATTTTAAAATCTCGTGTCTTAATTTCATAAAATGTTTTATTTTAAAAAATTATTTTATAAATGATATATAGAAAATATGAGAAATTAGATTTTTAAAAAATTCATATTTGTGTTCGTTTATAGAAGATCATACATTAATTTATTATAATTGAAACTTTCACTCTATTATTTACTATTAAATTGTCCGTAAACAATTCACCACTTTGATTCACATGAACTATATAAATACATTTTTTTAAAAGGATTATGATAGATATTAATCTTCTGAACTCTTGATTGATATTCATGTGTTTGGTCTTTATAATAATTAGATTTTTTCGTATTTATTTTCTAATTTGATGTATCTTTTTATTTTGATAATGTCAGAAGTGCATTTTATGTTTTTTTTTTTTTTTTGTATTTGTTAACTTAATATTATTGTTATATTATCATATTTTCTATTAAAAGTGACAAAACCGAACAGCCAAAAAACATAACAAAAATTACGTTAGCAAATTTTAAAAAGCATAGGAAGAAAATTTGGACCAAGGAGGAGAGAGATTAGAGGGGGAAAACGGACCTTTAGGCTATTTTTCTTGCAAGTGGGACCCAAAATCCACTTGGCAAAGCACAAAAGTACCTCACACGAGTACTGTCTGCCACCTAATATCTATGCCTCTCATAGAATAATTTTTTTCTATTTTATCCCCCAAGTTTTTAAAGTGATAAAAAAGTCCCTGACCCCACAATGCATCACTTTTCACTTTTTCTTAAAGGAACCCTACAAAATAAATAAATAAAAAATGTGGTGTGTATAGACTAAACTAAGTTATGTTGGTGGGCACAACACCAAATCTTCTCCTCTAAGATGCCTTCCAGGGTGACGTATTTTTCATTGTCATTTGAGGAGTTGTGGCGCCAGTGTCTAGTTCCTTAGGGAAGCATAAGAATTGATGTTTAAATTGCATAGAGTTTATAAGAGTCGAGAAATATTTGACTTGAATATGAATTAGTAGTATGGTCTATCTAGACTTGATTTTACTTTATTTAGATTAGAAATTTCCTTGATAATAATGTTATTGCTTGAATTAACATTTCATTTAGATAATTGTGGTGAAAATGAGAAATTATTAAGCCAATTTGATATGAATACTTTATTATCAAGTTTCAAATGGGTGAACTGTCTGTTTTGGTGTGTGTTTTAGAGAGAGGTCCCTTTTGGTGTTTAGAATTCAAAAAGTGTTTGTTTTGGTGTCAGATCCAGGGATGAATGGTGAATTACTTCACATGGCTGTATGCTGCCTGCAAGATACTTATGGGCAAGAAAATGGCATGTTCTGTAGGTAAAGAATAGGCATGTACCGCCTGCCTAATCTCACATGCAATTCTTGTGGCATCCATATCGTGGTGGATGCAGCCCCTGTGCTAAGATCTCAATAGAATCCAATATTTTTTGACCCGCGATTTAAATATTTATGTGAAAAATTAAATCACTAAAGTTTCAACAAGCATTAAGTCTGAACTCATAATTTCCAAAGTACAATAAGTTAAACATTAAAAGTCAAAACCAATCTAATTTAAATAATGACTACCCCTCTCCAAAAATTCATCTACTGCAATACTGATAATTAAGGTGAAGCAAAACTGTAATTGCCATCATAATAATTCAACTTTTAGTGACATATATAGAAAATTAAATAGGGGGAAAGTGATAAAAAGTAGGCAGAAATAACTTGAATTATGAAGGAAAACCATAATAATTACATTATATAAGATGCCAGTTTCAACACTTACTGCTAAACATGTTTAACAATAAACCAGAAAAATCAGCTTTCATTGTCTTTTTTTTTTATTGTGCATGTTTTCTGCAATCTCTTTGGTACTATGTTTCTGAATGCTCCATATCAAGAGGAGAGGGAAGAAAAAAGTCGGTTTCCTATCAACCGTAAGCAAGAGAAGTAGTTGGTGATCAAGATTTTAAGCAAACGTGGTAGAAGAGAAAGGGAATGACTAAGGAGAAATATGATGTGTAGGGTACAACACTTCAACACCTGCTCCACAGATCCTCTGAGTTAAAATTTTCTCGTTGAGGCAGGGCGGGGTTGAGCATTGCTACATTAGACAGATGGAACACTAGACAAGGGGGGTTCGAATCATTTTAATGTATAAAAGAAATACATATGTATCTTGCTGGTGAGGTGTTTAGAAAGGGATGCAAGGTAAAGAAGGTATAAAATTGGCTAGATTACACGACAATTTCACCGGACAGGTAAAGGTAATGTGTGGTTGTGTCAATGTCTTAGACATTAACATTGGTAGCCCCTGCGACATGAAAGTGCACCAGCATTTGAAGTAAGAGTGCCAACCAGGGAAGAGGCCTTTGCTGCTAAGCTTGAAGCCCTAGCATAGCTGGCTGCAGCACCGTGTCCAGATGGCGTAAAGAAGGCTCCATTAAGCATAAGGTCTCCCTCTGATCTCCAGTTCCAATGCTTCCACACATCTGATTGCTCCACTCTATGTGTCACCTGCCAACCAAAAAGTCCTTGTTTTTGAGTCCAAAATGAATCATTTAGAGCTCCAATTTATAGTCCATTCTATTTTCTTTTGGTAGTTCTATATTTCCAGAGTATGAGTTCCACCAAACTTAGCAACAGATTAACCTTAGTCATTAGTGTTATACTTACCTAATTACCCTCAAAAAGAGAAGAAGCAAAAGATGGAAATTAACCTGTTTGGCAAAAGGGTTGGCCGGGGCGAGATATCTGTTTCCTTGGCTGTTAATTGTAGGAGAAGCGCTGCCACCAATGGCATACATCTCCCAATGTGTATAGTCATTGTTCACCACATGAAAATAACCATGTCTACACCTGCATATCGATCAATTGGTAATACTTTTTAGCACAAGAATTTACAGAGAACAAAAATGTTAAAAAGTGGAACAAAACAAATTTTACCTTGGCATTCTCTGAATGAGACCCTCACCAAAATGGTTGTAAGCAATAGTCACCTGCATAATCTTATCTCTAACATAGGAGTCGCTGTGGCCTAATAACATCACCTCATTATGGTGTGTAAAATAATTGTTGGAGATTGTAATTGCAGTGGATCCCATGATAGCATCAATTAGGCCATCAGCACAGTTGGCAAGAGAATTGTGATCAACCCAAATATGGCTAGACCCAAAAATGGAAATGCCATCTCCATCAGCAATTGTCCTCCATCCAAAGTGACTCGGTGAACTACGTACCATGGCGTTACCAGTTGGCTTACAATCATGAATATTGATGCCATGTATAATAATATTAGTAACAAATTGGACAGTAATACAGGCCCCATTGGCAATATGAACATTGACACCACGTCCATCAATTGTCTTGAAACTATTCATAATTAGCTCTTGTTTAAGTGTAATAACCATATCCCGTTTAAACACTATCCACAACGGTCTGTCCTGAATTACAGCATGACGAAGTGTTCCAGGTCTGGGATTTACAGGGTCGTCATCATTTGGGTCAGTGACAACATAGTACTTGCCATCACGGCCGCCAATAGCATTACGTCCGAAGCCAATAGCACAGTCTGCTAGGCGCTTGCGGTTACGTTGCCAATTACGGTCACAACGCCAACAATCGTCAATAGGATTTCCAGTTCCACATGAGAAAAAACCCAATTTCCTCCTCTCTGTACTATTCCTAATGCTCCTGTATAATCAACAATTTAATTTAGCTCTGTTCACATGATTAAAGTTAGGAAGTCGCTGAGAAAAATAAAAATTGGCTGATTAGACATATATGAACAAATTTAGTAATGCCTTTGAGGTGAAGTAGTTAGTTATTAAAGTGATACAAGTGGGGATGGGAAATACGGTCATTACGGAACTGGTACCTCTTTCCGTTTGCCTTGTGCAATTAATGAATCTATAAGGTGGGCTGATAAATGCATCTATAATGTCGGTAGGGTAATTAATCTTTATTAACATACAGGTGTCATTTAATATGGGCATGTGTATGTCAGTTCAGCCAGCTGCTGGATCTTTGGATTTACTGGTGTGAGCTCAGATCTGATCGCTCATTCACTTTGCCACAAAATACAAGTGCAAGTACAATATACTATTTGGCTAATCTTTAATGGTTAGCTAAATCTGGTCACGTGAAGCAAATAGGGTGGTTTTGGCCTGTGATTTAAGATAAGGAGGGTGGTGGATTGAAAAATAAGTTAACACAAAACTGAACCAACAATGTGCTTGGTATGTAAAGCTACCTCCAACATAATCCATAGATAACATGAAAGAAAAAGACACATGAAACATAGCAAAATGTGCGGATCTGGCAACAAAGACCATGTGAAAACAAAAAGGAGATACTACAACATAACATGGCCTTGCTAATCAATGATTAAATTCTCCAAAAAGGTATTTCGAGTTCCGTACTAATACCGGATTGGATGCCTGCCTATATTATAAAGTACTCCTATCACATAACTCGAAGCAAATATTTAAACTGAATTTTCTGATTAACTTAATAACAGGATTAGTTTAATTAATCGGGCTCATAAAAGCTGACTTAGGGCGGTTGGCACATTGCATGTGCGATATATTCTTTACTGTCAGTCATGAATCAAACAAGAGAATTGACAGGGGATGAATTTGGGTGAAAATTGAGTAGGTGGGGAGAGGTAAATGGTATAGTAACTGGGGCAATGCATTTAATTTTGTGTTGATGATGTATATGGATCATGTGAGGGGTTAATTACTTCTAGTACAGTTCATTTATGTAAGCACATGAATGCAGATAGGTAAAGGGAATAGGGAAAATAAATATAGAATATTCATTGGGAATTTTTTAATACTAGTGATGAAATATTAGCATACTGATGATAGAGAAAGCAGAGAGAACTTACATGTCTACCATTGAAACCACCTTTTCTGGATCATCTACAGCATGTTCATGGTTTGGTACATTTTCTTCACTTAAACTGCAAATTTGAAATAGAAAATTGAATGTTAGGAACAGAACCATCGAAATTGAGCCTTGATTTGCTAATACAAAATGAAAAGTATAGATAATGAATTCAACGCCCAATTTCAGGCAAAATAAAAAGAATTCTGTAAAATTATGTCTTGGATCGAACTCACACTCCAAAAGCTAGCATTAACCATCAATATGAGACTTTTTTCATTCTTTAACAAATTCAATGCTGCATATGACGGTGAAGGAGCAAATCGTTATCGGGCAAATTATTTGCTCTAATTTAGAGTCACCGATCGTAGGGTTTTTTAACAGAATTATAGAACCAATTTTTTTCCTGATCCAATCTATACGATAAGGATTGTGTTTTCGGATGCACATTAAAACTTACCAATACTACATGCACAGCTATATCATATGAAGAGCAAATCAAATGGTATTTAATAAGGAGATGTTAAAAGAATATCAAAAATCCACCTATTCGCCATTGTCAAGTTCTTTAAGCTCTGGAATTGCTCTGCTTCTTCAGCACTGAAAATGAAAGAAGAAAAAAAGTACATTCAATGAGCAAATCGTAATAATTTATCTATTCACGCGAACTAATCAGAAACAGAGTCGTTCATGTAACACACTCGAATTCAGAAATTCAAGTTGTTTGCTTCGACATTGTCAAAAATAAGCTTATGAATCAATGGAAAGGGTTCAATTACCTGTGACCGGGAGTGACATTGATGACTAGTAGCATCACAAGTAGCAATGCAGAAAGAGAAAGATAGGATCTCCAATAAATTGCCATTGGAGAGATGAAAAGCAGAGCTCTCTCCGTAGAAATGTGAGTGAAATTGAGTCGAGAAAAAGGTTGAATGGAAGAAACGTTTTTATAGGAGAAATAAGAGAGAGGAGATAGCGGGAAGTGCTAGTGCTACTCTGTAGTTGCCCAACTTTGACATTCTTCTCATTAGACTTAACACCCGGTTTACTATATTTGTTTAACTCGTTTCAAATAAGTTGTGTTATTAGTTTGGACACAGACGTTTAAGTTAAATATTTTTTAAGCAGAGCGTTTTGGTCAATTCAAAAAGTGTTTATAAGCATTTAATTTTAAGTTAAAATGAGCCATAAGTTAGAATTTCTAACTTATAATTTTTTGTTTATAAATCAAACATTAAAGATAATTAGGAATTAAATAAAGAATTCTGAAATTTGTGGTCTAAAATATTCCGTGGCCATTTGTATGAACATATATCATTTCATTAAGAGTAAATAAGAAATTTTAAAGTTAAATTATTTTAATTATAGAAATGTGATATTCTTTTGGGGGCTAAAAAGAAAAGTATTTCTTATATATTTTACTTGATTGTAGATATAACTAATCTTGAGATAAATTAATATTTTAAATTTTATGTTATTTTATCATAACTAAGAATAGGATAAATTAGTCTACGGATTATAATCACAAAGAGTATAGTCCACCCCTAATTGTATAAGGATTTATTTTGTTAATTTTTGTACTACCCAACTGTCATTTTGAAGATAAACAAAAATGAATAATTTTTACTTTATTCACATACGGTAAGGAATCATTTGGTTATAATGGTTAGGACATTAATTCTAATATTAAATTTGACATTGTGGCTATCTACCATTTAATTATTGAAATTTATTTAATATCAATATAAATTTTACATCAAAATTTTTAATATCATCTATTTCATATAGAATATGTTTTAAGATAACCTTAATTTGAATCAAAATATAAAAAGAAAAAGGTTAGGATAACCCTTCCTTATTTGGAGAAGCCTAACTAATAATAACAAGGTGTGTTGTGTGATTTCTTTGTATCTTAAAATAGTCTGAGAAAGTGCTATAACGATTTTCCAAAAACTGTGAGTTTAATTTAAATATACAGTAACCATTTATAAAAAATTATAATATTGGTATACTTTAACTTTTTGAAGAAGATTACTTCAAAATAAAATTGTTGATTTCACTTATTATAAGTGGTTTTCTATACTTTTACTGTAAAAAAAATTATTACACCATCAAGTGTGTAAAAGTTAAATTTTCTAAATATTAATTTGAGAAAAGGAATTATACCAACATCTTCTTATACCTAATTAAACTGCCACCGACTCACACGTGTGAAGTTGCGTCGGTTACTCACGTACCACACTTTTTCTTTAATTTTCTTCCTCTTTCTCTAAGTATTAAATTCAACCATCTATATACGGTTTTCGCTAATTTATTCACCGCAAATGTGGGACCACCTTTCAACCTCACTAATTTATGGGCACGTTTGGAAAGCCAAGAGGGAATTGAAATGAAAATTTATAATTCGAACAACATTTCTATCATATTTATCGCTTTTTCTCCTCCTTTTTCTTTTGCTCGCTCTTCCTCCCTACCTTTTCTTTGCTATGTAATTGATTTCGTATTGTTATTGAGAAGCTCCTATTTAAAACATAATTATATCATACACATATATCTATTCACAAATACCTTTATTTGAATAATTATATCATAAATTTGATACTAGGTAGATATATTTTATGCATACATACACTGAATATATATATATATATATATATATATATATATATATATATAAGCGTCTTCTCAAACACATCTATAATTATGAACAAATATTGGCAATGGGGCGAGGCGGGATGGGTTGAGCTTAACCCCCAAATTTAACCCTCTCCGCATAACTTTTTTTTTTCATTTTCAACTCACCCCAGTCCGCCCCGCATAGATCCACCCCGCATGAACCCGCCCCGCATAATTCTTTTAATATTATTTTTTTCTAGCTAGGTTTGATACTTGAAATAAAATTTATAAAAATAAATTCGTTTTTTCATTAAGTTATACTAATTTAATATATAATAACTTAAAATTTATTTTTTAGAGGTCAATTGAGAAACATGTAAGAAATGTATTTTTTTTTATTAAACTATTTTCATTTACTATCTTGAATATTTTTTTATTTTATTTTTTACACTATCTTGAATATTTTAGTAGCTTTAAAGAAATTGTCTTAATAAATAAATATTGTTCTATCATTCTTATAACAAGTAAAAAGTTAAAATTAAGTTTGGATCCGCATAAAATCACATATACCCGCAACTCCCTCGCTCCCCTCCCCTGCCCCCGCATTAGTTTTTTTTAAAACCCACTTCTACTTGCCCCGCATCCCTCCCGTCCCGCACAACCTTAAACCTACCCCGCCTTAAACCAACCCCGTCCTACATCCGCCCCATTGCCATCCCTACACAGAAATATTAGATATATCAATGTATTTTTATGTTAAATATATGGAATTGCTATTAAAATATTGGATAAAATCAATATACACAGAGAGACGAGATATAGTGTACCTAGAGGCAAATATAATGTACCTACAAGATATATGATTATTGAACTGTCGATGCGTTAAGTAATTAGCACATACATATACTAGTGCGCTTTATGAACGTTGCCAATTAAAACTGAATTTTATTGAATATATGTAATTACACTACTTAACATGTTTATCTGACCAAGAAATTACCAATTTAGGGGGAATTGAGTATAATTAGAAGCTTGCAATTATACTCTCCAATTTTGAAGGAGGTTGATAATTGGGCGTAATTACATAATATAATTGCAATGTTACTTTTAAACTTCTTTCTTTGTATTTTGTTTTTTTACATTATTTATCTTCTCATTTTCTTTTTTTCCCCTCATTTTTCAACTTCTAATCTTGTGATTCAACTTAAGTGAACATATTTTTTCTTCATTTAGAATAAGTGCTTTATTATTTTAATATTTGAGTTAAAATAAAATTTCATTATTCAAAGAGATTATAGACTTATCATTTCATTTTTTTTTAAAATTATATTTACTTAAGTTATGATGAAATTTATTTTGTGTAATTATTTTTTATTTTTTAATTAATGTTATATTTTTATTCCATTTACCATTTAGAATTGTCAATGCTATTCTCTTTAAAAAAATTAATTTATTTTTATGATTGTTCTTAAACAATAACATGATATATACATATATATAATTCAATGATTCAATTAATCTATCTTAAACAAAAATATGGTATATACATATATAATTCGTTGATTCAATTCATCTTTTTATTTTCAAATTTTTGAACAAAATCAAAATTAAATATATATAAAAATCAAACTCAAATTAAATTATTTATTTGATTAATTTGATTATTATTTTTATATGTATAAAATTATGGCAAGCAAAACGTTTTGATGAGAGGGTGTAAACGGAAATATGTATATGGGTTGGGTTGTTACCTACTGTAATTTAAAAAAGTTTCTACTATTTTTGTTTCAATTTTTTTTTTCTATTTTTAATTTAACTTGAAGTAAAAAAACAAAGATATCTTTGAATTTTGTAATCTAAAAATTAAAAATATATTTAAATATTTGTTTTTGTAATCTTAAATATGTAATGTGAAAAAATTAGATAACTGTCAAAAAATAGATAACACATTTTTTTTAAAAGAATAAATTAAAAAAATTAGATAAATAAATTAAAGAAAATAATATTATTAACTGAAATTATCTCCACTCGCGGATGACGGTGCCGTTTTGATACGTGGACACGTTTCCATGTGGAAGATGTTGACGAATTTTGCGGACCCCGTACGGCATTGTCTGTGCTATTCATTCCTTCACTTAAAATTTTATTGGTCTATCGACACGTGTCGGTAGTATAGGCTTTTTTTTACCAAGTGTCTGGGATCCACGTTGAAGCTTGACTAACTTCGAATTCGTGTCGAAAGATTTATATTGGAGGTAAATCACTCTATATTGAAGATGACTTTGTATCCAAGGACATTCGAATTTGAGACCTCTAGTTTAGGATAAAGGAGTACTATCTATTCCATCACAATTCTTATTGGTCGATAGCCGTGGTGGATCCATGAATTCTATTAAGGGGTGGGCCCGAGCCCCACGTTGCTCCCAATCGCCCTCCGAAATTAAAAAAATAGTGCCTAAGATTTGAACTTGAAACTTTAAGGTCAGTTTTAAAATCCTCAACCACCAAGTCAATCTCTATTCTTACGTTCAGGAGGTTCAAAATCAATTTATAAACATAATTTTTTTCTAAAAAATCTTATGTATATAATGTAATTTTTTACGGAGATCAAGTGAATCCCTCGACTACCTCTGGTCCGCCTTGGTCACTCGGTAGTATAGGCTTTTACACGAGGTTGCCAGCCCTCTAAGTAAGCGGTTCCCCCGGTGAATGTCCGTACACATTTTTTCATTTCGTTAATCATGATTAGGGAAATGTGATTAGCTGGATTTTGATTCTTACTGTTCATTTTATGATCATTGAAGCATATAAGATGTCAAGGGTTTCATCTCTTTCATTACAAATATGAGATAATAGTGCAAATAGGGGCGGAGCTAGAAATCTTGATGCGAGTTTAATCGAGCCCATTAACTTTTAGTATTGTTTTTGTCAAGGAATCCATTGATATGTATATATACTAAATTTATCAGAAATTGAAAAACATAACCTTTACGTTAAAACTGTTAGGGGGGAATAAAATTATTTCATAACAAGGAGAGTAATATCAGGCCAACAATTTAACGAAAGACAAACTTACATAAAACGTTGTTTGGACAAATTTCTAAAAATTGTTGATCTTAAAAAGTTTTTTTTTTTTGGTCAAAATAACTTACCAGAGAAATACTTTTTGAAGAGGAACCTTGTGTATGTCCAATTTATTTCATAAGTATTTCTTAGCTATATTCGAAATTTCAAAGACACATTTTATTTATGGGATTTAACTATATTCAAAAGTTAGTTGGATTGAAATGGGTTGAATTGAAATGGATAAAAATACAGGTCATAACTTATACTCAAGTTTTACTAAATTTTGAATATTTAATAAAAAAAAAAAAAAATTTTATTATGACCATGT